GGGAAAGAGCTTCTGACAGTTGCCCAGGGGCTAAAGGCTGAGATGGGAAAAGAGTCCCAGAGTCCTCAGCACTTCCTCCCCCACAGAATAAATGGTGGTGGTTGGTTTTTATCTCTTGTTCCAAAGTGAAAATTCCTGGCTGTTGCTCACTGATCCTGCACAGCGATGGTAACCAGCTATCACGTGGCTCCTCAGTTATCACTGCACCATTAAAATCATCAAATCCCAGCCTGGTTTGGGTTGGAAGGGACCTTAAAGCTCATCCAGTTCCAACCCCTGCCATGGGCAGGGACACCTTCCACTTGAGCAGGTTGCTCCAAGCCCCTGTGTCCAACCTGGCCTTGAGCACTGCCAGGGATGGGGCAGCCACAGCTTCTCTGGGCACCCTGTGCCAGCGCCTCAGCACCCTCCCAGGGAAGAGCTTCTGCCTCAGAGCTCATCTCGATCTCCCCTCTGGCAGGTTAAAGCCATTCCCGTTGTCCTGTCCCTACAGGCCCTTGTCCAAAGCCCCTCTCCAGGTTTCTTATAGCCCTTTTAGGCACTGGAGCTGCCTTAAGGTCTCCCCTTCAGGAGCCTTCTCTTCTCCAGTTGCAGGCCTCTCCCTGTTGCTATGTTTGCTCTCAGGAGTACAGTGAATCATTTGGAGTGAACGTTGTAGGCAGACACCACTTAATGCACTCTTCGTCTGATGAGATAGACTGTGTCTGATGAGACAGTCTAATTGGTGACACACTTCCCTAGCCCTCCTTTGTTGGAAAGCAAGGAAAAGGGCCAGATGGTTTACCCCAACTAAAGGCTCCTTTAGGGCTGTGAGGGATTCTGGGGAGCAGAACTTACAGCACAGCAGGGGAGAGAAAACAACAGTTCCAGGGTTTGGGACTAACCAATGTCCTTTGTCTTGGGGAACTCTGCTAAAGGAAAGGAAGGTGTGATAGGGAGTAGTGAAAAAGCAGGTGATGAACCAAGGGGCATATCCCTGCCCAGGTAATGATGCCAACCATGTCCCATGACCAGAGCATCACAAGCTCCAGTTCCCCAGCCCGAAGACTCTGTCTGCAGGGGAAAGCGTAAAGTACCTGCCCGGGACGTCCTGCTGGCAGTGCTGCCTTTGCTGCTCCCGATGCTGTCCCCCCGTGTCAGGATGGAGATGCCACTGAAGCTGCTGGCTTTGGTAACGGGTGGCCGCAGGTTGCGGATGGAGCCATCCGAGTCTGTGCTGCTCCACGGCCGAGGCTCCAGCGACTTTATCTCGCTCTCGGTGCTGCTCTGGCGGCTGCCCGAGGCCCGGCTCAAACCGTCCCGGTTGCCCCTGCAGAGACCGGAGGAGTTAGACCGCACGTCCCAGGGCAGGGGGCAGCAGCAGGACCTGCAGCAGCGCTGCCACACTGCGGGGGGAGCCCCAGCAGCACCGGCTGGGACACAGCACACGGGCACTTCGGTAGGGACCTGACAGCAAACACACGCCCGGGGGCACAGCTTCCTTGGACATGCACTAGGAAGACCCAGAGGCTGCTGATCTTCCTTGGTGTGTGTTGAGAGCTGGCTCGTGGCCTTTTTCCCTAGCCAGATCCCCACCTGGAAGAGATGCCAGCAGAGTCAGAGCATGACCCCTTGCTAAAGCCCTCCTTGTCTCACAACAGGGAGCTTTTAACAGAGGCCTTCAAGACAAGGCTGATTGAGACCACTTTTCATACCAGCCCTGGTAAATCTTTCTGCTGAGCTGGAACACCTACGTGCTGGCATGTTGCTACACCCAGAGCTGTGCTCCCTCTTCATCACCCTCCCTTAGCCCCAGATCTGGCAACTTTACAGGACTTTACGGAGTATCAGCAACACATCCTGAGCAGTGAGCCTGGCTATCAGCCCAGCTGAGGATCACAAGCACAGGAATGGGTTCCTGGGTCTTTGCCAGGGAGGAGCGGAGAAGGCAGCACCGGAGGAGATGCTCAGGTAGTGCTGCAGGCTGAGCCCGGCAGCAGCTCCACACAGTTGTGGAGGGGAAAAGACAGGCTTAGAAGAAACTTCCAAAGTGATGCCCTAGGCTGCTGGGAGCATGGGAGAGCCAAAGCAAACACATCCCTTAGGAAACCTGAACAATGGTTATAGCCTTAAAGAGGTAAAGGAACTGGACTATGCAGACTCCTGCTTTTCCTACAGGTGCTCTCCAAACTCCAGGCATACTCTCACACTCTTGCTTTCTGAGAGCACTGCCCCAGCAGCTTCAGCCATGCATTTCTCTCCATCTGCTTTACTACAGCCTGTTTCCAAACGCATCCACCAGCAGAGAGCTCTCTGCAGTCACATCTGGGCTTCAGCAGCTTCCGAGTGAGTGGAGGATGTCCTGCTTTGTGTGCCCGGCCCAAGATGTATTGCTCTGAATGCCTGGCTTTGAGGGTGGTGTGTCTCTGGAGTTCACACTGGCATCACCTCCTGCACTACTCCAAGGGAACTCTTCTGAAGAGCTTGCCTACGTCCGTCCAGAGCTCAAAATGGTCCAAAGGCCACATATACTCCCCCTCTCTGCTATGCAAACCACAAAACAAAGAGAGCAGGTTAACCAAGCTCTTCAGGAACAAGTCAGAAAAGCTCCTAGTGCAGCCCTGGCTCCTAAAGCTGCAATCACATCAGCAACCCTCCCTATTCCATGAATCTGTGACCACCACTGCCACACGCAGACTCCAGGACACAGTCCCTGAACTGTGCTGAGGACACTTCATTTTCCACACCAGCACCCCTCAAAAGGCAGCCTGAGCCATGTGACAGACTGAGAGGAGCAAAGCTGTTCCCTGTACTTAGATCACAGACTGGTTTGTGCTGGAAAGACCCTAAAGCTCGTCCAGTTCCAACCCTCTGCCACAGGCAGGGACACCTTCCACTAGAGCAGGTTGCTCCAAGCCCGGGTCCAACCTGGCCTTGAACACTGCCAGGGATGGGGCAGCCACAGCTTCTCTGGGCACCCTGTGCCAGCGCCTCAGCACCCTCCCAGGGAAGAGCTTCTGCCTCAGAGCTCATCTCAATCTCCCCTCTGGCAGGTCAAAGCCATTCCCCTTGTCCTGTCCCTCCAGGCGTTGTCCAAAGCCCCTCTCCAGGTTTCTTGTAGCCCTTTTAGGCACTGGAGCTGCTCTAAGGTCTCCCCAGAGCACAGCAGAGGGGCAGGATCCCCTCCCTGACCTGCTGCTCATGCTCTGGGGGTGCAGCCCAGCACACGGGGGGTTTCTGGGCTCAAGCACACACTGAAGCCACGTCATGGAGAGCTTCTCACCCAACAACCCCAAGTCCTCCTCCTCAGGGCTGCTCCATCCAGTCTCCCCCGGCCTGTGTTTGTGCTTGGGGTTTGTGCTTCATCTCTAGAGCTTTGTCTATGAAATGAGAGGACAGCAGGCATGAGGGCCTTGACTTTCATGCCATTCTTTATCTTCCTCCTTTCAGCAGCCTCCTATAGCAAGGTGACTTGTCTCTAACTCCATCCTTCCAGCCCTTTCATCCACAGGAAAACTACTTAATAAGAAAATGCTGCTCATACATGTTCCCAGTGCCCCTGCAGCATACTCTGGTTGCAATGGAAGCCTGAGACACTTCAGTGCCATCACTAAGTAATCCAGTCTTTATAATGGGGGATTAGGAACAACCCCACCTATGTGGATGCTGATCCCTGTAAGGGCAGGGGCTTTCCTGGGAGAGAAGAGGCAGAATGGTTTGAAAACTGCTGAAATCCTCTGGCTTCCCCATTCTTCCCTGCCATTCCCACATTCCTGCCCCCCCCTCCATTTTCATTGATGGCTCAGCAAAAAAAGAACTCAAGAAATGGATGTTGCAAAAAAGACAGGTTCAGAACTTCACAAGCAGCCATGCATGGGGCAAACTTACTCAGCAGGACAAGGTACAAAATAAGTCACAGAGAGATACCTAAAAATCTGCCTCCGTTTGTGAGAACTAGAAGAAAAGGCTTCTTTGGAGATTCTGTCAGTTAACATCAGAAAAAAGCATCATTATAGAGTCATGCGGCTCTCTGCAGAGAAAGGCAGAGATACAGATAATGTCTGCTAAACAGTACTGACCTGCTGTCGGTGAGATATCCGTTCTGGCCAGCCTGGAAGCATGGGAAATACATGGAGATGGGAAGGAAAGAAAGGAGAGACTTAGTAACTTTGGAAGCAACAAAGCAATTTCAAAGCAAAGAGGAGCAAAGCACTAACAGTACGGGACTTGAACACAGTTTGTGTTGTGCACCAGTTACATGGTCACTCAGGAGTTGTGCTGCATAGCAGTCCCACTTGGCTCTCCATTCAGGCCCATTAGGAACCTTTCCTGGTACCTGTGACCCCGAGATATCTCAAGAGTTTGCAAATCTGAGTCCTCAGCTCCCTCCTTCATTGCTTTAAGGCAGCTTTGACGGTAGCTTTGTCAACAGAACAACCAAGGCTAGACACACAAGTCCCTTATTTGCTAAATGCAATTATCAGAGCCATGTAAAAAAAGGCAGAGGGCTCAAAGCCAGCCCAGGCCACCCTGTGAGAGTTGCCTCTGCCTCTGGAAGTCAGATGCAAAGCGCTGGCTCAGCCCATGAACATAGAGCAAGGGTAAGTACATGCCCACCCCATGTTGAGCCAACACAGGGCAGCACGTGCTCTAGTCCAGGACTACAGGCAGAGCTGCTTACTAACCTGTCTGGATGGCTTTGGGCCTGTGCATGGAAGACAAGTCCATGATCACAAACAGCTGGAGAGTCACTGGCTGAAGCCTGGTGACTCAACACAGCGGCTGCCTTAATATCCACCTTGGGCAGGCACATGGCAATTCCCATTAGGATGAATGAAAGGCATCTTCCCCAAGGTGCTCAAAAGCAGCAGGCAAGGAACTGGACTTTGAACGTGATCCACGGCAGATGGGCACTTGGAATTGGCCCTGATTCCATCATTTGGCACAGCATGGAGAGCTGCCTCCAGCTGGCAGACAGTATTCAACATAGCAGAGCACAGCAGCCTCTCTGAGCCAGATGTGAGCAAGGAACACGGCTCCAGCTTAGAGGAGTTCCATGTAGGGAGCAGAGATTTCAAGGAAGCAATAACCAAGCTGGACACTTCATAAGAAAGACAACAAATGTACCGCCCAATTCATCCTGTAAAGGCACAGAGCCCTGCCTGATACTCCAAGGCCAGCACTGCTCAGTCAGGAGGTCGAAGTTGCAGCTCCTTTCAGACTCATCCATTGATTTGCTAGTCATCCCAGAAATGCCACTGCAAAAGCTTATAATCTTGCTGGGCAGCAAGGAGCAAACCTGCCCCCTCTGTCAGTCCCCACACGTGTAGTAGGCAATTTAGGGAAGGAGCAGACTGGGGAGTGGAGGTGTGGCTCCTCTATCTCAAGGACTTAGACATCTTTGGTAGGAGCTGGAATTCAACACTAGGAAGAACACTAGGAAATTTGTGGAAAAGGCAATGACAAGATCTGACCTCTCAGTATACTCAAGGCCACCTTCTGCCACAACGTTCCAGGAGGTACCTGGCGAGTGTGTCATCCAAGCTTACCTCTCGCGCAAATATCCGCTCCCTGACCCGCTGATACTCTTCCTCTCGCTCTTCTATAGATTTGCTCCTTCTCCCATCCTGCAAGGGGAGTCTGATCTGAAGGGACAAACACATCTCAGCGGGTCAGCAGTTGCCAATGGGAGCAGGGGGCTCAGTCAGCTCCTGGCATTTTTATGCAGCAGTGTAAGTGGACGTGGATTACGGAGTGCGTGCATGATGCCTGGATGCAATGACATAGCCTCTGCCTTTGAACCTACCTTCTGAATACCTATGTCTAGGGATGAACATCCTGGAGGCCTTAGTGCACTCCACCTCCTGGATCAAGCACAACTACTCTGCCTGATACAGAAACGACAGATCAGGAATATCACCATGTGCTTCTGGAAGACAGTCTGTTCCCAGGGGTCAAAAGCTAAAGGCCGCTCTTTGGAGCATATGCCACCACAGGAAACTCCTGCCCAGACATGAATTCTGTGCTTCGTGGGTAGCTGCATCACCTGCAGAGTGCCACCATGGGGAAACCAGAAACTGATACTGATTGCAACGACCAGCTCCCCAGCCTGATGACTTTAAGTTCAGCAACGTGACCCAAAGGCAAGGGATAGGGGTATTCTGGGGCGATGTAAAGATAGGAGCTACAAGAGCAAAGAGCCTGAGATCCCTGGTGAATAGGTCTCCTGTCTCTTGCCTCTCCTGCCCCAGTTTTGACGTTCAAGAGTCTGTCTGACACAGGCTGGGAACACAGCCACAGATGAACAAGCTAAGCTCTGCATTATGGGTCTGGTGCCACCTGAGACAGCCTGAGGGCAGCCAGAGATTCAGGAGGGTTTTGAGCTTGGATGACTGGCAAAAAGTGTTTCATTTTGCCGATGGTTTCCTTCCAGCAGCACTCTGAGTCCTGTTGACTTCACAGCTGGACTCGCTGCAAGCCCCAGGAAGGGGTGGGAGAGATGCTTGGCAACACAGCTCTGGGGCATTTCCAAGGAAACCTTAGCAAAAGGCTTCACCTTAAAGCCTGGCCCAGCCACCAGATGATATTCAGGGTACAGGAAAGTACCCCCCATAGAATCCACACAAATTCTTCATGCATTTCCACAGTATTTTGTCAGGTTTTCAGGATATAGCTAGATGCAGCTGCTTGGGTGGGGCGGAAGCTTCTATTAAAGAAGGTTACTGCAGGAAACCCAAGAGAAATTGAGAGTTGTTCTCAGCTTAGAGAAGTCACATTTGACTTTCAGGAAGTGTGGAGACGCTGCATTACCACCCCTTACCTGATTATCATCTCGGTCCATGCTAGTATCATCTCGTTTTAGGATGAACCTCTGCGGGAACTCTGCATTCTTCTCATCTTTGATGTGCTCAGAGAACCTCTGCTCAGGGCTGCAGGAAGAACCAGCCCTTGTTAGAAGGGGAAACACAAGGCATAGAACTGCCTCCCTAAACCCACTGCTTTGCAGGGATTAAGGAGGTGTGCAAAGATATTTGTTGTGCTAAATCTTTCCTTTGTGAGGGCAACAAGAGCTCCTGCCTCTTCTCTGAGAACTAGAGAGCTAGAAAGGGCTTGCAGATACGACTGGAAATGAAGGATTCCCCTCTTCTAGAGAGGGGACCTGCCCTTCTTATGGAGGCAAAACCACATGGTGTTGGATCTGTCCTGCTCTGGACCAGGGCTCTGCATCTGGGGGTCAGGTAGCACCACACAGGGAAGGGGATTCCAGCCCAGTTGTTCTTCCCCCCCTCCTTCCCCCTTACATTCGTGTGTTACTGGTCTTGTTGATAATGACTGCCTTCCCAGTTTGGTCCACGTTATGGTCCATGCCAAAGTAGGCAGCTACCCGGTGCAGCAGCATCCTATGGTATGAGGTCATCTGAGGGAACTTCTTAAACTGATTGCTGAGAAGAGGGGAAAAAGCATGAGAATTTAGAAGGCTTTGAAACAGACAATGATAATCTAAAGAGAGATCAAGGCTGGAGATGCCTTAACCACACCCCACATCAGACCATGGCACATATCCCAGGCAGTTAGTCATGAATCAAGTCCTGCTTCTTACACCAAGAGTGAGCTTGGGCTTCCACTGCTTTGCCAGACAGAGCTGGGCTGAGTCAAGGGCTCAGGCTGAATAAGCCTGTCCTGAAACAAGACCAGCTGTGGAGAAATGCACCTGTTTGTTTCTAGGCAGGAACAGGAGCCAGAATTAGTACTTACACCATGACTTCCCTGATTTTAGCAGATACAGAAGTTTGCAAGCTCTGTGGCCAACACCTATTTGTTCTCACATTCTAGGATGTGACTCCTAAATCCCTGATTTAGGCTATGAAGAGAAGCACAACGGCACTAATGTCATTCTCTATGGACACCCAATTGATAAGAAACTCAGAAACCTTGTGTATGGATAAATGGAAGTGGAGGATCAAGGCCAGGCTGGACACAGGGGCTTGGAGCAACCTGCTCTAGTGGAAGGTGTCCCTGCCCATGGCAGGGGACTGGAATTGCATGAGCTTTAAGGTCCCTTCCAACCCAAACCTTTTTATGACTATGAGGATGTACAAAAGAACAGGCCTCCTCCCAGCGTGCCCCAAAAGACACTCCCTTCTTCCCTGGGTGCCCAAGCTCCTGAACTGGAAGTAACGAACCTCTTTTGCGTGACAAAAATGTGATGATCACTTACTTGTTATCACTAATAAATTCCAGAATCTCCTGTTCTAACTTTAGTAGCATCATTCTATCCCTGTCAAGAAAACAAAAAGGAAAAGGCCACCTTTAGAGAAATACAGCTTTCTCTGTGAGGTGCCCTTCCCTGTGACAAACTCACAAATACCTGGAGCAAGGAACACTGTTAACCAGGCTTCACACCCCCTCCACAGGAATGAACTAAGAAACTCCACATTTGTTCATATATAGTAAATGAATTGCCAGACTTTTTGCAGTTTAAAGTTGTTTTACTAAGTGGTGGGCTTTGGGTAATATTGCCTCTGCTCTGCTGGAAGCTCGACTGGTAGAGGCTCCAGCTTTGCTATTCCTATGCCAGCGTTTGGCTTGATTATATTTATTACTGACACAGCAGCGGTTCCTTTCGAGGTTGGGATTTGACAATCAGTTGCAGGAAAGGTTTTCAAGCAATCAAGATTCCTTCCTGCTTGCATTCAAACAAACACTATCTCTCCATCATACACAACTGCATGTTTTGCTTGACTGCAGTAAATCAAATCACAGTTTTCCTCTTTGTTTCTACACTGCCCCAGCTCCAGGAACACCCTCTGAATGCCGAAAGGTAAAACACACTTGCAGGTACTTTCCATAGTTGCTGTAGTGTCCCCTCCTCCCAAGACACAGCCAGACACATTCACACAAACTTCACAGGTTTAAGAATCAACCAAAGCATTCAAGGCCAGGTTGGATAGAGCCTTGGGAGACATGGTTTAGTGCGAGGTGTCCCTGCCCATGGCAGGGGGGTTGGAACTAGATGATCTCAAGGTCCTTTCCAACCCAAACTGTTCTGTGAGTCACTGGTCACCAGGTGCTCCCTCCCTTCACTCCGTTAGAAAGCAGTTTTAGTGAGAAGGGACCTACCGTGGGTTTTTTTTCAGTGTATTTACTAAAAATTCATGCAAATCTATTCCAGTGGAGTCTGTATATTCCTGGCTGGAATCTGAAAAAAACACAACAGCAGCAGCAGCAGAACAAGTTAACAAAACACTGCAACAGAATAGAGCGAAGGGAAGAGGTGCACGTCTTACTGTCCCCCCACTGCTGTTGGGGGGAATCGAGCCTCATCCTCAGCACTGAGTATTCATGACAGGAAGGGAGGAAGAAAAGGCCACCTTTTTACAGAGCTGCACAGGCTGGGACTGTATCACCTGGGCTCTGAACACAAACTCTAGGTCAATCGAGACCATGGCCCCTTTCTGCCGTGGGCTGCAGGAGCATTGGTACCAGGCACACAGAAGGAGGATGCCAGAGAGAGGGAGATGAGATCAGGTTGTGGAAGGAAACCTTGTCCCTAAATCCAACCACTCGGACCATAGTCAGGATATTCCATGCTATTATAGCATACTTCTGTACAAGCCATTTCTGCACCTTTGATCCTGGGTGCAGAAGAACCCTGTTCTTTCCCTCTCCCCACACCCTTTGTAATTTAAAAGCAATCACAGCAGAACCAGCAAGCAAAACTGAACCTGCACCAGTGCAGAGCTGCTGTCTGTACAAAGACTTCAGCTGCAATTTGCTCACCAGACTAAATGTCTCTCAGCCATTTTTATGCCCTGGAATCATACACGCAGGACTGTACAGCAGAAACTGAGCTGACCTTCTTGCAACCTCACATCTTGCCACATGTGGCAAATGAAACTGAAAGCAGAAGTCCTTATGGTGGGTGTTCTCGGGTTTGCATCTGCACTGTTAAAAAGCCACCAGATCACTAGGAACGATGCAGGAAGCCTGCAAGTCTGCTGGGGTACATGCCAATCTAAAGAAATCCTTCCCCTCACTCTGCAGGCTTTGCTCCAGAAAGGATGTCACAGAAATGATACAGCCACCATTGAGCACCTCACCTCGAGACAGCATTTTCCTCGGTGCCTTTTCTTTATTCTTGTCTTTTTCTTCTTTCTCCGCCCCATCTTTTGTGGACTTTTCCTCTTCCTTGTCAGAAGGGCAGCTAACGTGTAACTGAATGATATCCTGCAACAAAAAAACCCAGGCTGGTCTGAGTCACTTGAACATTCCCTGGAGCTGGGACAGGCAGCACTGAAAGGCAGGGGATTCAAGTCATGGATGTGAGCCATTTCACAAGCAGCCCCATTCTAAGAGCAGCCAAAGCAGTTTCCCTCCCTACCCTCCTTCCTTTGGCAGGCTCTGAGGGGACTCTCAACAGCATTTGTCACTGTTGTCACTTGCCTGGATCACCTCAGAATCTAAATCACATGCTTCCCTATTTGAAGCTGATAAGATGCTATTACATCTTTGTCTCAGGAATGC